TAAAGGTCTTCGCCTAAGCCGATCAAAGACAGAATATATGGAGTGCAAGTTCAGTGCAAATGGAGGCCAAAATGAGTTAGGGGTGAGGATCGGAGATCAGGAAATACCAAAGAGCGACCGTTTTCGCTACCTAGGATCTATCTTGCAAAAGAACAGAGAGTTAGATGGAGATCTCAACCATAGAATACAAGCTGGATGGATGAAGTGGAAGAGTGCATTCGGCGTGTTGTGTGATCGTCGTATGCCATTGAAGCTTAAGGGAAAATTTTATAGGACGGCGATAAGGCCGGTGATGCTGTATGGCACAAAATGTTGGGCGGTGAAGCACCAACACGTACACAAAATGGGTGTAGCGGAGATGAGGATGCTTCGTTGGATGTGTGGGCACACGAGAAAGGATAAGATTAGGAATGAGGATATCCGAGGTAAAGTAGGAGTAGCTGAAATTGAAGGAAAACTGAGAGAAAATCGGTTACGGTGGTTTGGACATGTGCAAAGAAGGCCTACTGACGCTCCGGTTAGAATATGCGACTACGGGACAGAGGTTCAGGGCCGAAGGGGTAGAGGAAGACCTAGGAAAACTTTGGAAGAGACTCTAAGAAAAGACTTAGAGTACTTGGATCTAACGGAGGACATGCCACAGGATCGAGCACAATGGCGTTCTAAGATTCATATAGCCGACCCAACTCAGTGACTGGGATTTTTCAAGTCTCCAATCGAGAAGTTTTCCCCACTCGGGAAATTAAGGGAACACTACCTCAACCTACATGCTCCACTCACAAAGCTTCAACATACAAGCTTCAACAAAAGAAAAATTCAAAGAACTTAGTGAAGAAGGCTTTGGTGTATTTAACACAATACGTTGAAATGAAACAAAGCTTATTTATTGATATCTCTAAGAAGTTACAAATATGTACATATACACGAGTCAAAATAAACAAACAAGATGGAGCCTTCACAAAGGTTGCTTAGGAGAAGTCTCAGCAGTCGGCAGAGCCTCAGAAGGAGAAGGCACCGGAGGGGGATCATTCGGAGCCTCAGTACTGGACAACACCCTAGAAGGAGGAGGCATCGGAGGTTGATCATTTGGAGCTTCATTACGCGGTACAGCCCCAGAAGACGAAGGCAATAAATGTCTTTGGAACAAACCCACAAACTTCTGATGATCATGTAAAATCTGACAATCAGATTCTTTCATCTGGTCAAGTTTCCTCTTCATGTTTGTAGCATAGTCATGAGCGAGCCGGTGCAATTGTTTATTCTCATGCTTGAGCCCTCTAATCTCCTGTTTGAGACTCATCACTTCAGCCGCCAATGATTCAACTTGGCGGGTTCGAGCAAATAGGCGTTGGGCCATATTAGACACAGAACCTGCACACTGAACACTGAGAGCCAGAGAATCCTTAACAGCCAACTCATCAGACCGTTTGGAAAGTAGTCTGTTATCTTTGGGAGTGAGAAGGTTTCTGGCCACCACCGCAGCGGTCATATCATTCTTCATAACGGAATCCCTAACGGTAAGAGGACCAGTAGGGGATAAGAAGGATGGGCGCCATATGTTGTCTGGAGAAGGCGTGGCTGCCTCTTCAACAAGGTTCAAGTCAAAACGACGGTCGGAGGGGCCAGACATTTTCAAAGGTGTTGAAGAGAAAAGAGGTCGGACAAATCAAAATCTTAGAAATGCAAAAAGGGAGCTTCTACTGGTGGAGATTCAAGTGTGCTTTGGAACTTAATACCAGCCTCTATAAAAATCCGCACTCGATGGAGCTTCAGAAATCGAAGAGGCGCCTGCTCAGAAATCGAAAAGGCGTTTGCTTTCTCAAAAGCTGGGCTGCTCAGAGACCACGAGGGCCGATCTCAGGAATCGAAGAGGCGTTTGCTTTCTCAAAAGCTGGGCTGCTCAAAGACCACGAAGGTCGATCGCAGAAATCAAAGAGGCGCTTGCTTTCTCAAAAGCTGGGCTGCTCAGAGACCACGAGAGCCGATCTCAGAAATCGAAGAGGCACTTGCTTTTTCAGCCTTGTCAGCACCTGTCACATGCACACTCAACTTTGCGGAAATTACGGGCATCCTGTCGAAGATTTCTAGTGAAGTAGAAAGCACGTGAATGTTACTGTTCAATCATTCACTTTCCACACGCAACATCAGCCAACGGGTACCACATATAACTTTGCCAAAAATCTCTGACAAAGTTTAGACACGTGAAGCTTGCAGCTCCCATTACATCGCTATGACCAAGATAGGTAAAAGAATAGCAAAGCAACAACACTAACAAAGTTTAGACACATAAATTTTGAAGGTCTAGCTACCATATTATTACCCACAAGGGTAAAGGAACAGGACCATTGTTGGATAATTGGAAAGTCCCTGTGGGTCAACCTCTGTGCTCTGTGGCAAGGTAGACTAGCAAACAGGCCTAACCTTTACTCACATTCGAGAAAACACTCCCAACAAGATTGCTTGCTTCAAGATCGAAGAGGCACCGTCCTCCGAATCTCGAGAGCCAGACTTCCAACATAATTACTTTCTCAAAAAACGACGAGACACCGCTCTCAGAATCTCGAGAGCCAGACTCCTAGCAGGATTGCTTTCTCAAAAATCGAAGAGGCACCGTTCTCCGAATCTCGAGACAGATCCCCAACATGATTGCTTGTTCGAAAACCGAAGAGGCACCGCTTTCTCAACTTCGAAAGCCTCTTAGATAAAGCTTGTCTGTAATCCTCACACCGCTTTCTCAACTTCGAGAGCCAGATCTCCTTGGATAAAGCTTGTCTGTAATCTTCACACGTAACATCAGCTTTCCAGATAGCACAGACCACTTTTTCAAAGTGCTATGACAGAGTTAAAACACGTGAAGCTGGCAGCTCCCACTACCGTGCTATGACCAAGCAGGGTAAAAGAATAGTATTACTCCTTGTTAGGGAGACTCCTATATATGTCGACCTCCATCCTCAACTGACAGGCAGACCTGCAAAAATGCTCAACCCTTCTTCATATCTGAGAGGGCACTCCCAACGAAGCCTCTCGAAATACTCAGCTTTCTTTCCCCCCGAGAATACCTCTGCAAACAAGCTACACTAGAGCAAGAATATCTCATATCATCAGGGTTAAAAGTAAGAGTATCCCATATCATGATTTTTCCCTGTCTTTTCCTTTGGCCTTGTTCTTACCTGCAAGACAAGGAGAAAGAGAGCAATCAGTCAGCACTTGGAATCAAGCTTCCAGTCCGGAACTGACTGCCTGGAACCCCATTGCTCTCGAGTACTCATCTTCAACATCTTATGCTTCCTGAGAAGATACCACATCTGCCTGAGGAACAAATAGGGCAAGTGAGAAGGATACAAGGAAGCATGTGGAGACAAGCGCAACAGAACACGTGCCGATACATCCACTACTTTGTCAACAGCAAAAGTATCCCATATCAGCAGGGTCGAACGTACTCTAGATTTGATGGACTTGTTTTGACCCTCAAATTCTTCAGTCGGCCTTATACTCTGGCGGAAACAAGAAAACCCTCCAGCCCAGTTCAAGAATAAGTCTGTGGAAAGTTACTTCTTCAAAAGCAAAAGTATCTCATATCACCTTTTCTCCTTTTCTTCTCTTTATCCTTCATGCTACCTGCAAGATAAGGAGAAGGATAACAATCAGCCGGAACTCGAAATCAAACTTCCGATCTGGGACTGATTGCTTGGAGCTCTGATTGCTTACCTTGTCTGTCACCTCTTTCAGCAGATCCCCTAACTCGGCGACTTGAGGGACTCCTACTACATGGTTTGTATCGCGCTTGACCAAGCCTGAAACTACAAGTAAGCGTTAAGTGAAATTGATACATTACCTTGTGCATCTTCACCAGTTAAAGATACCACCCCTGGAGGGAGGAAGAGTAATTCCAAAGAAGATGCCACATCTACCTATGAGACAGATAAGGCAAGTGAAGACGATACCACACTTCGGTACTTAAAAGTTTCGTGATTACGAGATCATTCTTCCACAATATTTCCTAATGTCATTTGTACTAAATCATTCACTTGTACTCACTAAAGGAGAGCTCGAACCTATATACTGTGTAAACCCTTCACAATTAATGAGAACTCCTTTACTCTGTAGACGTAGCCAATCTGGGTGAACCACGTACATCTTGTGTTTGCTTCCTGTCTCTATCCATTTACATACTTATCCACACTAATGACCGGAGCAATCTAGCGAAGATCACAAACTTAATATTTAAGATGATATTCTTTGGTGTATGCTTTTCGCAAACGATATAGTGTTGATAGATGAAACGCAGGAAGGGGTAAACGCGAAACTTAACCTTTGGAGAGAAGTGTTGGAATCTAAAGGTCCTCGCCTAAGCCGATCAAAGACAGAATATATGGAGTGCAAGTTCAGTGCAAACGGAGGCCAAAATGAGTTAAGGGTGAGGATCGAAGATCAGGAAATACCAAAGAGCGACCGTTTTCGCTACCTAGGATCTATCTTGCAAAAGAACGGAGAATTTGATGGAGATCTCACCCATAGAATACAAGCTGGATGGATGAAGTGGAAGAGTGCATCCGGCGTGTTGTGTGACCGTCGTAGGCCATTGAAGCTCAAGGGAAAATTTTATAGGACGGCAATAAGGCCGGCAATGCTGTATGGCATAGAATGTTGGGCGGTGAAGCATCAACACGTAGGTGTAGTGGAGATGAGGATGCTTCGTTGGATGTGTGGGCACACGAGAAAGGATAAGATTAGGAATGAGGATATCCGAGGTAAAGTAGGAGTAGCCGAAATTGAAGGAAAGAGGAGAGAAAATCGGTTACGGTGGTTTGGACATGTGCAAAGAAGGCCTACTGACGCTCTGGTTCGAAGATGTGACCACGGGACAGAGGTTCAGGGCCGAAGGGGTAGAGGAAGACTTAGGAAAACTTTGGAAGTGACCCTAAGAAAAGACTTAGAGTACTTGGATCTAACGGAGGACATGACACAAACCCGAGCGCAATGGCGTTCTAGGATTCATATATTTAGCCGACCCCACTTAGTGGGAAAAGGCTTTGTTGTTGTTGTTGTTGTTGTTGTTGTTGTTGTTGTTGAAACAATTTTCGACATCTGATTATTTTTTCAAGAACAATTATTCACAAGGTACATGAACGATTTCAATGGATGAACCACATTATAGAATGGCGAAGAAGGGAGTATATGGGGACTTGGTATGTGTACGATGAAGAGTGAAAAAATTTCGATGTTGATCTTGTAACTATATCCAGAATGTGCCGCCCAAATGCTGTCTGACGGTTAAGTTAATGAATGATTTGAGTCAAACAGTGGGCAAGAGAATTCAAGTGGGTAGATTGTTTTACCGTACATGAATCCTAGATGAGTGTATTTATACCGTGAGAGAGATTTTTTTTAAGGATAAAATTCTCGTTCTAAGCCACGAGAATCTTAGAGGATATCTAGTAAGTAGATATTGCGTTCTCTTAGAAGTTGTGATTACTTGCGTCGCATGCTTATCCCTAGATTGTAGGGACTCCAAGACTTATAGAATCTGATTCTGCCCATATCCGGATCAGATCGTGTGTTCTGCGAAACAAGCATGGTCATCCAGCAGAGTCACTAGGACTCCGCTTGTTGCCTCGGAGTAGAGTGATGGTGGCACCCTGCTCCGTCTGATACAATTTCATCTGAAGTTGGTGAGTTCATGATCGAACCTATGAGGTAATTGTATTCGAATCAGCCTTATTTTGGTCTTGAAAAATTATAGTCCCACAATGATCCAAACTCAATTATTACAAAGTGTTGTTACTCAAAAGTGTGAACCCAATTGCACACAATTGAAGCATGAGAAATGTTAAGGAGACTCTCAAGGTGGAACTTTTTATGAACTCTGAGTTTAACTTTATTTCCCGTGCTAATATTATAAAACATTGTGCAAAAAGTATGAGCCTTAACATTTCTCTTAGAAGCAATGAATAAGATGTCCTAAGAATAAAAACAAACTTTGCTAAAAATTCCTAAGTTATTTTTCGGCTACAAGCCTAAATATCTTATCTTTTTTTTATCTACTAAACTTTTATTTTGTTTTTTTTTTCTAACAAAAGATATTAAACTACAGAGATAAGATTCGAACACTAGACCTCAAAAGATTTTTCTTATTTGATTAAACTGTCGATTTTCCCTTTGAACTTTCACCAAACTTTTGATTTACCCATGAACTTTTAAATTGGAAAATCAAGGACTTAAACTAATTGTTTAGGCCCATTTCTCCCTTACCGTTAGTTTTCCATAAATTTCAGCCAAATTAACGTTAACTCTTATCTTGTGCACACCACATGACTCTCATTTGAGAATGAAAATGTTACTTCGCTAGACCTTCAGACGCAAACACTATAGATTCACACATATTTGCACAAGTCAACGCTTTAAAAATCTAAGGTTTTCAATTATTTTAAAGAACGAAGCGACCAAACTATTCTCACATATTGTGCACATATTTTCATTTAACAGAAATTTGGATAGAATAAATAAAAAACTAACAGTTGGAAAAATTGGTCAGAATAATTAGTTCAAGTCCTTGATTTTTCAATTTTTCAATTTTTCAATTTAAAGATAAATAAAAAATTAAGTGAAACTTTATAGGGAAAATCGGCAGTTTACACTTTTTTCTTTGCCAATTGGAATTGGTAATGTTACTTGGAACCTGGGTAGCCCAGCAAACCGACTGGACTAAGTAAGTAACACATAAATTCACACAATTCGATACTTTTTCCACAATCTCGATCAAATTACAGACCAAAAGAATTTTCCCAAAACTTTAAGAACGAACCCCTTTGCTACTTTCTCTTCCTCACAGTTTGTTTCTCTGAGCTCTCCAATGGCTTCCACCCTCTACCAATACTCAATCACTCAGCAAAACCAAGCCCTACCAAACACCCACCACCTCCAATCCTGCGACTGTTTCATCTTCCACTTCAACTTCACCCACCAACTCCAACTTTTCTTCCCCCAGGACTTGATTGTCCCACTCAATTCAATCCAACAATCGTTCCTTGTCCCCTTTCATGTGTTTTTCTCACAGACCCGAGAAACAATCGAGACCATTCTATCCGGGACTGGAGTTTCCATGGACTTTGTGGAGACTCTGGTGCCGGAAGTTTATGCTTTGGCCGTGGAGATTACCCGGAACTCTGAAAATGCTGAGCCGATAGTAGTCCCGCTGGATTTGGATGTCCTTGCTGTGACCCCTTTTGATGACCGGGAACAGATTGAGAGGGCTATTGTGGAATCTGGGCTGGTTTATAATCCTGTCCCGGCCGCCAAGTCATTGGGTGCCGGACTAAAGACTGTAAATATTGAGAATTTGGGTGTGAGCAAGGAATGTAGCATCTGTTTGGAGGAGCTTTCGACCGGATTGGAGGTTGTGCTCATGCCCTGCAATCATCTGTATCATAAAGATTGCATTGTTGAATGGCTGAAGAGAAGTCACATGTGCCCCTATTGCCGCTTCAAGATGCCCACTTGATTGCATTGGATTGGATTGGATTGCGAAAGGTAAATTCTTGAACTTGAATTTGGGATATCTTGTATTGGATTGGATTAGTGATTGACGTGATTATATTAACCAGTTGGTGTTTCTCAGTTGCCACACCTGCTCGCTTGATCACATTGGCCTAACGGGATTATGATCGAAATCGCGGTGTTTGATAGCTGGTGGCAAGGTTCTTGTCCTGGTATGGCCGCTTCTCTATAAATTTTGTGTGTTTGCGTATTGATATGTGATCATTCATATAAATCCATAGCAATTATTGATTTGTATATCACTTTTAACTAAAGGTCAATCCAAGTTTCTAACCAACACGAAGGAACTAATGATTTAATTGATTGCATTGAGCCATTCAGCTTTCTGCTATGTTACCGACGACGGAGGGAGTCTTATGGAAAGTTTCCGGTGTTGTGCTTGGAACTGAAGTGCAGGGGACTTGATGCATTAGCAAGCTGCTATGAGTATCTGAGCCAAGTGCACGAAGGCTAGATAGAAAAAATTCGGCGTTCATAGTTTAAGGTAAATAGAAAATGCAGCACAAGTTTATATGTAATGTGTAATGTAAGAGTGGTTTCTTGAGTCTTGGCAAAGACGAATGTCATTGTATTCGTTATCGACAATGCTAAAAGATTTTTGTCCTCTTTACTATGAACGAACGCTTTGCTTACGTTACAAATCAAAGGCATTCAAGGAGAAAAAAAGGAAAAAGATATTAACACTGTACACAAAAAAGAAAGCCAAAAAAAAAAAAAAAAAAAAGAGTAGTGCACAGCTTCTTCTCTTCAATTGTACAAGGGTGTTTCTATGCAGATACTATTTTCTTCTTTGCCTCAGATCAGTTAAAAGTTCCCGCCGCGTCGCTCTTGGATTGGTTTATTTGAGCCAAGGAGTAGTACCAAACTGCCAGGGCTTGTCAGCCAGTTAGTGGATGATCATGTTATTTGCGAGTTTGTGCAGGAGCAGACCATTCAAGCAAGCAGGTTGGTTCCAGAGTTTTTCATCGCAAAGAGGGATTTGTTGTTTTGGATTCGGGATTCGGGTTTAAGTTGATTTGGTGAAGGGTAGTTGTTTATCTCCTCGTTCCAAGGCGTCTCTCCATTGTCTGTACCTCACTCCTAGCTTGTCATATGTCACCGGCCAATTCCAGACATTTGCCCCGTTGTTCATTCGCTCTTGTTGACCTAGCACGAGCCTTAGATCCTCGTTCAAAACCTGTGGATTGAACACAAGAAATTTTGTAAGCAGGAATGCGAGAAAAAAAGGTTATGTGAAAAGTAACGTATGTCACAAACAATTTTGTTTACCTGTTGGGCAAAATGCCTCCACATAAAGTTCATGAATGGAACGTGCTTCAGCACGGGCGCAAAATCCAGTGACATTCTGTATAATAACCTTGTTTTACCTCTCGAAGAAGGTAAGCATACGTGGAGTTGATGAAGATGTGTGGAACACTGTCTAGTACTCTGCCCTTCCAGTTTTCCCGGTTTTGAGATCCCGATGGTTGAATTTACCATACAAGGTGGTCGAAATTCCATATCTATAGGATAAGGGTCCCAATATCCTTGGAGGCCAGACGTAGGCGTCAAGAATTTCACGAAGCTGAAAATTCAGATCATTCACCACATTAAGTCCTGATGGAAAGGATTTGTTGTGAAACAACGGGCTACAACAGAAGCAACTCCACACTGATGGATAGATATTCGATTCTACAAAAAAGAAACAAGAAACAAACCTAGGAACACTCCATCCCTTCGCAAAGGTGGACGTGTGAGTGAAAGGAGCATGAGCGAGATCTAAAAGGTTATCAAGAAGCAGCCCATGTTCCACTGGGAGTTCTATGACGAGCTGCCAACAACAGTAGAAAAATGTTACAACACTCGTCCACGTATAGAAACAATCACTAAACCTTGTTTTAGAAGAGGTAAAAGGATAAGAATTTTATCTGTAGCATACCTCGGCGTGGATTTGAAATCCTGCAGGAGGTTGTAAAGAAGGAAGGGTGGCTGACGGAGGATCAGCACCGGGCCAAATCCACAACATTCCATCTTTCTCGAAACATGGCAATGACTTAATCTTCACTTTGTGTAATCGCGTAGATGGCATTTTTTCACATGTTCCATCGGTTGAATACTCCCACCCTGAAATTTATCCATCACAATGTTGTCAAACTGTTGAGTCCTATAATCATAAAATGTCCCTTGTCGTACTTTATGACCTAAATATAGCGCAAATGGCAATGCCCCTTAAACATGTCACTAACCATGGTAAGGGCACGTGATACGGCCCTCATTTACTGAGCCGAGGTCAAGAGGGCAAGCTCTGTGCGCACAAGTATTCTGCACACATCCAGGTTTCCCATCTTTTCCACGAAAGAGAACCCATGGTTCCTCAAAACAATCAAGTGGCACCTGAAAAAGGAAAATCGATGAGACTCTTGTTAGAAGACATACTAGAAAACAAGTTCTCCAAAAGATTAACTCCGCAGAAGAAGTGTAATCCGATAGATAATATCAAACTCCATAATGTTCAAACTATAATATAGCAACGAAAACCTATGCCACTGAACTAACTATGTTTTTTGTTGTTGTTGTTAAGGCTAATGTAGCTAATGCACAAATAATGAATGCCAAATTCGAAGAACTAGCCTACCATGGTATCATCTTTCAGGTCAGTGGTGAAGGCAACAGGATACCAAAAATTCTTCAATCGGGGATGGTAGGATTGAACTGGACCTGAAACGTTCAAGCTTTTTCGAGGAGGCTTCCTTTTTACAGAATCTAGAGATTGCGTAGAAGTGCTGGGAGAAGGGGATGCTTCCTCGGAAGATGTAGTTGCTCTATCCTGTAACAGCTTATCATTCACTAATTCTTCCATGTAAGCCAATTTATCCAACGCTGTGGAAACCCTTGCTTCCGATATATGAACCTGTTGTAAATCAATTTCAATAGTAAGTCTCTGATCAGCTGAATAGTCTAGAACTAATTAATCTTCGTAAGTACTCAATTTTCAAGGCGGATAAATGGAAGGCAATTTCAAGTTATTTGCAAGTTACAAGGTTTTATATCTTCAGGTGTTAAAAAATTATGTACCTGTCTATGAGCCTCCCCTAGTTCTTCTTGCAACTCTGCGAGCTCCTTTTTGACAGTACCTATAGACTTATATTCTCGGGCTAGAGGATTTAGAACGTCCACAACCTGAGCAGCCATACTCGAGTGTAAGAATCCCAACGGAAAATTTCAAAAGCTAATAAGATAATTACTAACTAAACAATAGTTTCCTCCCATGAATCAATGCTCAATGCGCATCACTAGCATTTTTCAAGATTTTGAGATTCGAACTTGATATATCGTCTAGAATCCAGATAGAAGTTACTCATATTAGCACTCTGACCTTTTCATGGAGGAGCATGATTGCGAGCACATCTTGCCGAGCTCGCCAATCACAATACTGTATATCAAATCTAGCAACTTCCAAGGCCTGGTTTGCATCCAGAAACTTGCCCTTAGATTGTGGAAATTTCGACCTTGGATCCTCCACATCAAAGAGTGTGCTCCAAGCATTCTTCTTCTCTATATCTGACTGCTCTCCGAATACAGCAAATACTCGAAATCCTCCTTTCACACCCTGAAATTTAACACACCCAACCACCTAAGCCACCACATGATAATTTGGTCTACATTCATTAGATAAAGATCATAAGCACTAGTTTCAATCGACAACTCAATTAACCAACAAACCAACTAAATTCCCCTTCAAAATTAGCTTGTGCCCACTTAAATAAAGGTGAAACCTATCCAAATTTGTATACTTTTCCACTAAGCACTTATCAAACACACTAGATATGGGCTTGTTTGGAAATGCTTATCCAGAAAACACTTATCCACATAAGCAGTTTGAACTTTGAAGAACGACCGAAACTTGAAATAAAAACCCTAAAAGTCGCTTTTGCAATACATGAACACTTATAATATGTCATACCACACATTATCATAAGCACTTTCGATTATCTAAACCGCTTTCGAAAAAAGGCCCCTAACATGCATTATTCCACATTTCAATGTACAAGTCTCTCAGAATTGATAAGTGAAGTCTGAATTCGTACCTTCCTGGTGCTAAGCTTGGTCGTTCTGCAAAAAGATATTGGCAGAGATAGAGCTGCAGCTGTGGCTACAATGGTCATGGCGTTTGAAGCTGACAGACTCATGGCATAGAGAGAGAGAGAGAGAGAGAGAGAAAACGTAAGAGATATTGGTGTCACAAATTTATTGTTGGAAAGTTTTGTTGATAAGTGGCTACTGTAGCCCGCGATCTCAGTTCTCCTCCCACGACACGCCACGTGGATGCAGTTGGATAACACGTGGCAAGCTCTAGTTCCACATGCTATTTGCTTGTGTTGAGGAGTATCTGGCAGAAGTGGGGCCCATATATGGTGCCAGCTCGGATGACCAAGATATCCTGATCTATCCACCCCGTTTAGTGTATTTTGTCTTTGCACTTCGATTTTTCAAGTGGATTGGGTTTCGAAGTGGGTGGGGGCTACACCTCTAATTTTATTTTATTTTTCAATTAAATGATAAATTTGTTATATTAGTTACCGATGAAGTTCGAATTTACGTCATCATGCAAGAGCACAAGTCTTTTTCACTACTGTGGTAAAAGGCCACATGCTAATTTTTTAAATGTGGAAGGTTCCAGGTTCAATGCTTCGAGCTGGTGAGTCTACTTAACTGTAGCCACGGCTTACAGACTTGACTGTGGCTACGGTTCACGGGCAGAGTGAAATTCCCCATAACTGTACCTAAAAGGAGTAAATAATCGAAACTTACCATCAATTGTCCTCTTTTTCTTGTTTTTTTTTCACTTTTTTATTTAAAAAAAAAAGAGATAAATTGTTTGGAAAAGGGTGATTGTTTGTGATCAAAGATGTTGATGGTTGTGAATTGTGATTAGTGCTTAAGTGTGTAGCATCTTATTTTCAAGTCAATTAAAATTTTGAAAAGAGAGAGTATACGCTTTGACATGCTTAATGGGTTGGGCTCAATTTCGCTGTCGGGCCGGTACAACGTCAACTTTGGCCTGGGCATTTGCTCACTGCTAGACCTGTAAACAAGTCGGGTTTATTGAGTTTGGGTCGGGTTGAACCCGACCCGTTAAGTTAATAGGTCACCCGAACCTGACCCGTTAAACTAACGGGTCACCCGTTTCACCCGTTAACATTCGTTAACAATTATTTTTATTTTATTTTTGCATAGAGTTTATATTTTGTTGTTAAGACTTTATTGAAATTACTAAAACATCTTCAACTAAAGGGTGTTAACGGGTCTAACGGGTTGACCCAAAGTGATCCGTTATTTAACGGGTTGACCCGTTAGCGATCCGACCCGTTAAGCATCCACCCAAATACTAATATTAACGGGTCGGGTCGGGTCCAAAATGCCAGGTCTACTCATTGCAATGGTTTGATCGTTGTTATGCCTCGCGGGATGGGATGAAAAAGGATAATATCTGTCTCTTTTATGGGGAGACTTAGGCCATCTCCAACCGAAGGGTCCAGAAGGATAATATCTGTCTCTTTGCATAGAGTTTATATTTTGTTGTTAAGACTATTGAAATTACTAAAACATCCTCAACTAAAGGGTGTTAACGGGTCTAACGGGTTGACCCAAAGTGATCCGTTATTTAACGAGTTGTTAACGGGTTAACCCGCTAGCGACCCGACCCATTAAGCATCCACCCAAATACTAATATTAACGGGTCGGGTCGGGTCCAAAATGCCAGGTCTACTCATTGCAATGGTTTGATCGTTGTTATGCCTCGCGGGATGGGATGAAAAAGGATAATATCTGTCTCTTTTATGGGGAGACTTAGGCCATCTCCAACCGAAGGGTCCAGAAGGATAATATCTGTCTCTTTGTATAGAGTTTATATTTTGTTGTTAAGACTATTGAAATTACTAAAACATCCTCAACTAAAGGGTGTTAACGGGTCTAACGGGTTGACCCAAAGTGATCCGTTATTTAACGAGTTGTTAACGGGTTAACCCGCTAGCGACCCGACCCATTAAGCATCCACCCAAATACTAATATTAACGGGTCGGGTCGGGTCCAAAATGCCAGGTCTACTCACTGCAATGGTTTGATCGTTGTTATGCCTCGCGGGATGGGATGAAAAAGGATAATGTTTGTCTCTTTTATGGGGAGACTTAGGCCATCTCCAACCGAAGGGTCCAGAAGGCCAAATGGCCGAAAATAGTCCGAAAACCGTCTCTAACCGAGGGCCAGACCAAAGGGCTATGGAATCTGGGAGGGCCCCACAGAATCGGGAAGGGCTGGAGGGTTGGCCACTTCCAGCCAGCCAGCCAGCCCCAAGCTGGCCATTTTTTTTTTGAAGTGTTGGATTTCCTGTCGGTTAAAACCGACAGGAATAGTATATAATATAATGAATTAAAGCTAACGGCTACTGGGATATTTATTAATTAGTATTAGTGTCGGTTATAACCGACACAAATACTAATTTGAATTAAAGCTAACTGCAGCTAGCTGTTGTATTCAAATATTTTTTTTTTGAATTTAAACCTTTTTTAACTTCTATAAATATGGTGAAGCTCTTTCAATTCTTCACTTCATTTGCAATATTTCCTTCAATATATTTTTCAACATTTCCTTCAATATATTTTTCAATATTTCCTTCATCTGCAATATTTCTTTCAATTTTTCAATAATTTCCTTCAATATTTTTTCAATAATTTAAATAATAAATTATGTTTGGCCCTATGGCCCTCGGTTGGAAACGGTTTTTTGTGACATGGCTAAAACAAGCCCTCTGGCCCTCGGTTGGAGACGGAGGCAAATATGGCCCTATACTGTTCATTAAAATATTAATATCTTGGAGAATCTTGGAGGGCCAGAGGGCTAAAACGAGCCATCTGGCTAGCCATCGGTTGGAGATGGCCTTACTTGTCTTCTCACTTGCGACTAACAAACTTTTGCTGTTCCATCATTATAATCGAAACTGTTCATTCACCTTATTATTATTTAAAGATCAGACATTCAAAAAATTATCTAATTTCGAGATCATCCAACCATTCATATGCATAAAACAAATAGACAGTCAAGAGGTGGTACATGCTACGAAAATTGTTGATTGGTTTTACACGTATGGATAACTAAATGATCTCCATTAAATGATTTTTTTTACAAATATAATCTTTAGATGATGATAAAGAGAATGAACAGTTCAGATTATAATATTCATACAATAAACGTTCGTTAATCATAAGTAAAGGGCAAGGTAAGTCTGGCCATGGGGGAACAAGCATTATCCAACGAGAAAAGTGTTACAATTCGTGTTGTTTGTTCTTTTGGATACTAAACGTTCTTAAGAGAAAATTTGGTAGAAATTTTTTTAGTGCTTTTTACCTAAGCACATTCTATGTGCATTTTTTTTCTAAATTACTTCTAGGAAGTCTATGAATTTAGTTTGGTTTTGGCTAAAGTCCGGTCAATTTTGTTTGGTTTGGAGAATAGAGGAGAAGATAAGAAGATTGCAAGAGAAGCAAAGGCGAAGACAAAAAAGAGAGGAAGAGGTGAAGAGAGAAGGTGGTGAACGGAGAGAGGAGGATGAGATAGAGTAAGTAGGCAACTCAAAGTGAAGGACAAATTTGCATCCACCTTACGGGTGTGCTCACTCATGAGTGAATAACATACTTTAATTGTATAAATTTCAAAATTCAGACTTATCTACTTAAATAATTAATAGGAACTTGATAAGTTATCTTTACGCATACAACAAATTGATAAGTATAGTAACCATTTACATTCTTATGATAGAGTATCATTAGTTTGACACATATGGATGATAATCATCAAAGTGATTGATATTCTACAAAGACATTCCTTAAATGATGAATAAGAAATAGAAAACCTCTTATATTGACAATGGTACGATTATCAGAGTTAATTGGACAAGAAAGTGCATACTGTGCAACTATGGTTGAATCTAGTATTGCCACAAAATAAAAATAATGTTAGAATAGTGTTATTTACACATCATTTTTATTTCTCGCACTCTTTCTCAATTCGATCCTTAGATTAAATAAATTAAAAAAAAAATAACGTAAACACGAATATTCCTGCAATGAATGAGACAAGAACACATGTACAAAATAATATTTATATTAATAATTTAAGGGTTACAATCTCTTCTAAAAATTTAGCCTCTGATTTGATCTTCGTAATGTGTAGATTTGTGGATTGTGCTGTTGATCCAAGGGCATTCGAGGCTTGATCTTAGGATAAACAGGTGATGAACGATGAACGCTTTCTTCAAGGGGGCCGTCGGGGCTTGATCTTGAATTGTGGAAGTTCTTCAAGGGTCGTCGGGGTTTGATCTTGAAGGAGGAAGTTCTTCAAGGGCCGTTGGGGCTTGATCTTGAAGGAGGATTTGACGAAGAACGAAGAAAGCTTTCTTGATCCTTAGGGATTTGCTTAGGAGCTTTAGAGTTTCAAAGCTTCAAGGTTTTGGTGTTTTCTCCTTTTTTTTTGATCCTTTGATGGAAGAGCCTATTTATAGGCTTTGAGAATGAATCACCACCATCCTTTTTTTTGGTGAAGTAAGTGGATGTTGTACATGAAGTGAGTGGATGTTGTAGGTGAAGTAATTGGATGATGTAGGTGAAATGAATGGAGGTTGTAGGTGAAGTAAGTGGATGTTGTAGGTGAAGTAAGTGGATGATGTAGGTGAAATGAATGGAGGTTGTAATTTTAATGCATTGGTCAACATTTATTTCACCGAAATTTCGATGTCTACAAATGCCCCCACTTCAAGGCGTGTTGTATACATGTGATTGTCACGTGTAGAAGATGCGTTTTGAAGTCCCCTGATGTAGATGTCGATCCTAGGGCCTTCAAGGCTTGATCTTGAAACGGACTGGAAATTTCTTTAAAGGCCGCTGAGGCTTGATCTTGAATTGAGCTTGAAAATTTCTTCAAGGGCTGTCGAGGCTTGATCTTGAATGAAATTGGACCACAAGAAGCTTCATGTGGTAAATGATCTTTGGCTTTGGTAATGGATGAATCGACACATATTTTGTTGCGATTGTTGACTTTCCATAACTTCGATCTTGAACTAGGTTGGAAGGTTTTCTGGTTTCCTCCAATTGTTGATTTTCCACAAGCTTAATCTTGAACTTGATTGGGGGGGGGTTTCTTCTGCCAGACTTGCGCCGAATGTCTAAATTTACTCCTTTTATCTGGAG